CCTGCCCTCAGCCACATCCTCACCACCTCCCAGCTTGGTGCCATCCGCAAACTTATGAGGGTGCACTCAGTGCCCCCATCAGGTCATCAATGAAGACATTAAACAGGATGTTTAATGCAGGGAGCCCTGGGGGCAGCACTCACAACGGGTCACAGCTGGGCTGCATCCATTCGCCACGACCCGCTGGGCACGGCGCTCAGCCCCCTCCTCACCCACGGGAGTGCAGCCCTGGCCAGGCCACGGGCAGCCAGTTTCCCCTGAAGAACCCCATGAGAATCCGTGTCGAAGGCCGTGCTGCAGCCCGCGCAGACCGCATAACCCACAGCCCGCGTGCGTGCGGCCGCACTCGAGGTTTTGCGCACGCTTTCACGGTGCCGTTAGCGAACATCGCGCCCTCGGCCACGTGCGCCTATTGCGTGCGCGTCTGCACGGCTTCAGCTCGCCACCACATCCGTGTGCCCCTGTGCGATCCCACAGCCGCCCCCAACGTCGCCCAGGGGTTTGAAGCCCCGCGGGGACACGGCGGGCCCCCATCGGAGCGCGCGGCGCCGTGGAGCTGCGGGGCCGCTGCCGGCTCGGAGCGCGGCCGTGCGCGCTCTTCTGCTGCCACCTGGTGCCGCCGGGGTGCGGAGCGCAACATTGCGGCCCCACAGCCGGAGCCTGAATGCAGTGAGCGCCCCGAGGCATCTGCCCTGGGAACCGGGGTACGGCCCTGCCCCACGTCCCACCCCACTGCATCCCAGCGCATCCCACTGCATCCCACCCCACCACATCCCATCCCAGAGCAAACCGCTGCAACCCATCACATCGCGTGGGATTCCATTGCGTCCTATCCCATCCTCACATTGTACCCCATCCCATCCCACTCCATCTTATCCCATCATTCCCCATCCCATCACAAAACCATCCTATAGCATCCCATCCCATCTCATCCTATGCTATCTGATCCCAAGACACACCTATCCTATCCCATCCTATCCTATCCTATCCCATCCCATCCTATCCTATCCTATCCCATCCTATCCTATCCCATCCTATCCTATCCCATCCTATCCTATCCTATCCCATCCTATCCCATCCTATCCTATCCTATCCCATCCTATCCTATCCTATCCTATCCCATCCTATCCTATCCCATCCTATCCTATCCCATCCTATCCTATCCTATCCCATCCTATCCCATCCTATCCTATCCTATCCCATCCCATCCTATCCTATCCTATCCCATCCTATCCTATCCCATCCTATCCTATCCCATCCTATCCTATCCTATCCCATCCTATCCCATCCTATCCTATCCTATCCCATCCTATCCTATCCTATCCTATCCCATCCTATCCTATCCCATCCTATCCTATCCCATCCTATCCTATCCTATCCCATCCTATCCCATCCTATCCTATCCTATCCCATCCCATCCTATCCTATCCTATCCCATCCTATCCTATCCCATCCTATCCTATCCTATCCTATCCTATCCTATCCCATCCTATCCCATCCTATCCTATCCTATCCCATCCTATCCCATCCTATCCTATCCTATCCCATCCTATCCTATCCTATCCCATCCTATCCTATCCTATCCTATCCCATCCTATCCTATCCTATCCTATCCTATCCTATCCTATCCTATCCCATCCTATCCTATCCTATCCTATCCTATCCTATCCCATCCTATCCTATCCTATCCCATCCTATCCTATCCCATCCTATCCCATCCTATCCTATCCTATCCCATCCTATCCTATCCTATCCTATCCTATCCTATCCTATCCTATCCTATCCTATCCTATCCTATCCCATCCCATCCCATCCCATCCTATCCCATCCCATCCCATCCCATCCCATCCCATCCCATCCCATCCCATCCCATCCCATCCTATCCTATCCTATCCTATCCTATCCTATCCTATCCCATCCCATCCCATCCCATCCCATCCCATCCCATCCCACCCCATCCCATCCCATCCCATCCCATCCCATCCCATCCTATCCTATCCTATCCTATCCTATCCTATCCTATCCTATCCTATCCTATCCTATCCTATCCTATCCCATCCTATCCTATCCTATCCTATCCCGTCCTGTCCCGTCCTGTCCTTTCCCATCCCTCCTACCCTACCCTATAATCTTATCTCATCTCATCTCACCCCCCCTCCCTCCCATCCCCATCCCCCCCACCTCCCCCTGTCCCTACAGGACGGCTCCATCCCGCTCTCCCCGCTCTGCAGCGCGGTGCTGGTGGATGTGGGCTGATGGATGGGATGTCAGCCCCCATTCGGGCTCCCGGTGCTTTGCTCGGGGCCGTCACGCCCGGATGCACCGCAGCGGTATTTTTAGTCCCGTAATTCGTTGCTACCTCCAGCTTGATTAATTTCTGCTCCGTTGCTCAATCCATCACCGCGAGAGATGGAGGGATCACAGCTCATCCCTCCAAACCCCATCAACCCTCTGCTCCCCGCGCCGTTTGAGACAACGCGCACTGCCAGGGTCTGGTGGCTCATCCCCGACGGCTCACGCGTTGGCCGGTCCCGTCCTTGTCCCCACTGTCCCTTATTGTTGTCACCGCCGTCCTGGCGTGACCCGGCTCCCCCGCGCCGGCAGCGTGGCCAAGGAAGCGCTGGGCTGCGGGGGCTGCTTCAAAGGCCCCACTTTCCTCAGTAGGGGACGCGTGGGTGAAGGGGCACCGTGTTCCCGAGGGGGGGACGATGCCCTCCACCTACGGCCCTTTGACAACAGCCCGACCCATTGCCTCGAGAGCTGCAGCCGCCCACAGTGGGGTCAGGCGGGATCCGGTCCATGGGGCCGTCACCCCACCACCTGCGTCTCCATTTTGATGCGTGGGGACAGAGGAACCCAATGTCCCCAGGGTTTGTCAGGGCCGGCTGAGTGCTTCCTGTATGGCAGGGATCAACGCAGCCCATCGGTTCCCAAAACAGCCCTGCGGCATCTGGGTTCCTGCAAGGGGACGGAGCACAGCTCCAACTCCACCTCAAAACAGCGAGAGCATCATCCCTGAACCACATCCCAAACATCGGCCAGAGCATCGCCCCCCAACCGCATCTCAAACATTGGTGAGCACATCGAACCCCAAATACATCCCAAACCAACAGGCGTTGGTGAGAGTATTGACCCCCAACCACATCCCAAACATTGATGAGCACATCCAACCCCAAACAGATCCCAAACCAACAGGCATTGGTGAGAGTGTTTCACCCCAACCACATCCCAAACCAATGGGGCACTGGTGAGAGCATCGCCCCCCAACCGCATCCCAAACGTTGGTGAGCACATTGAACCCCAAATACATCCCAAACCAACAGGCATTGGTGAGAGCATCGCATCCCAGCAACATCCCAAACCAGTGGGCTTCGGGGGGCACATCACATCCCAACAGCATCCCAAACATCAGTGAGTGCATCGCACCCCAAACGTCACCCCAAACCAATGGGCATCGGTGAGAGCATCGCATCCCAACAATGTCCCAAACAGTGGTGAGCACATCAAACCCCAACCACATCCCAAACCAGTGGGGCACCAGTGAGAGCACTGCATGCCAACCACATCCCAAACATTGGTGAGCACATTGAACCCCAAATACATCCCAAACCAACAGGCATTGGTGAGAGTATTGACCCCCAACCACATCCCAAACACTGATGAGCACATCCAACCCCAAACAGATCCCAAACCAACAGGCATTGGTGAGAGTGTTTCACCCCAACCACATCCCAAACCAGTGGGCACCACTGAGAGCATCGCACCCCAACTGTGTCCCAAACGTTGGTGAGCACGTCAAACCCCAAATACATTCCAACAGGCACTGGTGAGAGTGTTTCACCCCAACCATCATCCCAAACCAGTGGGCACCATTGAGAGCATCGCCCCCCAGCCACATCCCAAACATCAGTGAGCACATCAAACCCCAGATATATCCCAAACCCAACAGGCATTGGTGAGAGCATCACCCCCCCCAACCGCATCCCAAACATTGGTGAGCACGTCAAACCCCAAACAGATCCCAAACCCAACAGGCATTGGTGAGAGCATCACCCCCCCAACCACATCCCAAACCAGGGGGTGACTGGGTGACCCCAGCCCCGATCGCCGCGTCCTTGGCACAAAGCCCCACTTCTGCCCCCCCGAAACAGAGCAGCTTCCCCCCGATCTGCCCCCGCTCACCATCCACCACGTCCTGGCTGTCACATCGTAGCACAGTTGCCACTGCACCGCTGTCCCCGCCGCCTCCATCCCGTCCTGCCACCCCGCTCCCACTGCCATCGCAGACCCCAAACGAAGTCACTGAGGCTGGAGGGCAGTGGGTGGGGGTTGGGCCCGGATGGGGTTTGGCTCGGAGGAGGGTGGGTGTCACCGTGGTGTCACCCAGAGGCTGTCCCAGTGGTTGGCACAGCCGTGGGACTGACTGTGACGGGGACACGTGGGGACGGGGAACGTCCCTGTGGGTTCCACCCGTGTGTGCGCTGAGTTTTGGGGATGAACCCCATAAACTGCTGCTCCTATGGGGACACACAGTGGGTTTGTGCCAGGGGGGCTGAAGGGTGGCACTTAGGAAATGTTTCGGGTTTGAAGGTCCAGGAGTCCTAGAAGCTGCATTATGGCAGGTAGGGGGGGCTGGGGGCGCTCAGGGGTGCTGGAAGAGAGGCTTTGGGGTGATAATTCCCATGGACACAGCTGGCACGGGGTGAGGAATGGCAGCACAAGGGGGAAATGCGGATTGCAGGGGTTTGCTCCTGGAAATAGGCTGGTTTTGATTTGATGGAATATTCCATCTCTGCTTTTGGCCCAAAGACAGATTTCTGGGGAGGGAGAGAGGATGAAGGACCGATGAAACCCTTTGGCTGAGGCTCCTCTACATCCAAAATAGGTTTTGGGGTTTGGAAATAAACCCAAAGGTTTGTATATCGGGGTCAGCGCTCAGGGGGCTGCACCCCAGCAGGGGGGGGGTTATGGGATGGCGTGTCCAAAGGCAGCTCCCCCTGCCACCTTTTTGTCCCCTGCTCTCCCCACATCCCCCCTGGGCTGAGAGCATTGGGTTTGGGGCTCTGCTTTAGCCCCCATTTGACCCCCCCCGCTGTGATATCGGGGTGCTGCTCCCTACAGACCCCACTTGTCAGCCAGCATCACCTGCCCTGAGCGTCCCTTTGGGAGCTGATGTTGGGAGGTGACACTGAGACCCCCGGGGGGGTTGGGACAAGACGGGGACAATTTATCCCCCCTCCCCACCGCAGTGCCATACAATAGAATCTCCTTCTTGGAGCCATAAGGGAAGAGGAGAGGAGCCCCCCGGTGTTGTATGGGGGGGAGTAGGACCCCCCCCCCCCCCCGTGCTATGTGGGTAGAACAGGAAGCCCCTGGTGCTGTGTGGGCAGGACCCCTGTGTGTTACATGGGCACGACCCCCACCCCACGCTATGTGAATGGAACAGATCCCACTCCCAGTAACACACAGGCAGAACCCCCCCCCCCGTACAGGTTCTGCAGGGGCAGGAGCCCTCCCTTGTTATACAGGCAGAATAGACCCCCCCCCCTTGGTGATGTATGGGCAGCCCTCCTCGCACCCCCTGCCTTCCCCCCCATAGAATGTGAGCAGTGCAGACCCCTGCTATAGGGGCAGAACCTTCCCTATGTTATATGGAGAGAACAGAGCCCCCCTCCAGGAACATACGAGCAGCCCCTCTCCACGTAATAGGGGCAGAACAGGCATCTCTGGTGCAACATTGGCAGCCCCCCCCCATTATGGGCAGAACAGACCTCCGGGGTGCTATTTGGGGAGCCCCCCCCTTATGTTATATATGGACAGACGATTCCACCACTGGTACAAGACGGGCAGACACCCCAACCCCCCCGTTCCCATAATGTGGACAGAACAGAATCCCCTTGCCCTACACGGGGTC